CCCCCCCCCCCCCCCCCCCCCCCCCCCCCCGGTGGACAAAAATCCAGCTCGCCCCATGCCCGGACAACACCCGTCCGTCTCCTGACGGCCCGTTTCCGCAACTGTGCGGAGCTCCGGGGCTGGAGATGCGAAAAGCACCACCCCGGCCAGCCGCCGCGACAAAACGGGGGTGGGGACCAGAGCGCTGTTTTTAGCCTCCGTGACTCTCCATCGTTTCCCCCTCCGGGGTCCCACTCCTCCGAGTTGGAGTTGAGGACAGGACCGGGGTCGCTCCCGGGGCTGAGGGGCGGGCACTGACACCCTTCCCCCGAGTCCGACCACGAACAAAGAACCCCGCGAAGCCGAAGAAGCCCCCTCACCGTGAGGGATGCACGCCTCCACTGGCCCGCGGTGCCGCGGCCCGGAGGGCGCTGGGCGCTGCACAGGCGTCCGGACCTGCCCCCACGGTCGGGAACCCGCCGCCTCAGCGGTGCCCCCGGGCCGCCATCCGAACCTGCTGCCCTGCCGCCGCCGCCTTAGCCTCACGGTCGCTGCCTCATCCCGCTCCCCGCGCACCCACGTTTGGCTGCAGCGCAGCGCCGGCCCCTCAAGCCTTGCTCCTCAGACCGGAGTGCCGCCGGGAAAGGGCTGACCCAAGCAAACCGCTTGTTTCTGTTTTTGAGTTTGCGACGCCCCCAGGGGGGGCACGTGACTTCCCGCGGATGGATCCTCTGCCTCCGCAAAAGTCTTTGAAAAAGAGTTCCTCCCCGAAATCACTGTGCCCGGGCGGTTCTGTGGAATCTTCAGCTCGCCTTTGCTTTACCGAGCCGCTCCTCCCTCTCGGTTCCTGGGCGGAGGGTGGAACCTGGGCGTTGGCTGTAATTCTGCGATTGATCCGGAGCGGGGAGGAAAGGGAGCGACAGGATTGAAGGCGGAAGGAGATTGTTTCTGGTAGCACTGCATCTTTTAAAGGTCCTTGATGTGTTTTGTTTTCGCTGTTTTGAAAAGTCCGCCCAAAGTAGCCGGCTCTCCAATTGGATCCTGGGGGCACGAGCGGAATGCTGAGACTCTGATTCATTCTCGAAATCGGATTGGCTAGCTGATTACTCTTTTGAGCTCTCTGATTGGTTTGTGCCGTATCCGGTCTCTCTCTCTCTCTTCCTTGGGGCCCTAGCAACGCCGGGTTCGGATCGCGCATGTACGCCTGCTGCCGCTGAGATGGAATTTTTTGGCTTGGCCCTGGGGTATGCGCCTGCTCGCCCGCCACCTCCGCGGGTCCCAGGGGAAGGCCACAGCTCGGTGCTCACCCACAATGAGCCGGAACACATAAATAACCTTTGTGACAATTCTTCCATCACCACCGGAGAAATCTGTGCGTTATTCATTTTGCCCTGTGGGTCCATTTTTCAGTAACCAAGTCATCCAGTGTTCGGGTGATTACGGAATACTTACGGAGTAAAATACTGTCACCTTTATTATTTGCCTTAAAAGTTTTTCTGACTAAGAGGAAAAAATGGAGAGGTGAAACAAGATGGGCAAAAAAATTGAGTTGCTGAAGCTGGGTGATAAGTACAAGAGGGTTCGTTATACTATTCTTTCTACTTTTGGGTACCTTGAAATTTTTCCCTAATAAAAATAGTTTGTTCATTGAAGGGGCTTGTAAAAAATTACCTGTGCACACTGAAGAGGATACATAAATATCTAGTAATTATAGTAGCATAATTCCAGAGGTTGTAACTGTGCTGTTTTAATAAAGACTCCAAGAGGCCTCCTGGTCCTTGGTCTCCCATTTATCATTTGTTTCATTCATTCATTCATTCGTTCATTCATTATTTACGTCATGGCGGGGTATTGGGAAAAGTTTTCAATTAGCAATAATCGCGCCTCGGATAAACCTCATTGGTTACGATACTGCCACTGTACAAAGCTCCATTTGTCGTTTATTGTCTTTTATGATTAGTATTGTTATTAAAAGGTGACACTTAGGCTGGAGAAACTTTCACAAGGAAAATCTTTGGAAGATTTAAGAAATTCCCCTCCAACATTTATGGCTACTTTATTTTCTCCCTAAATTCCCAACACACAAATCAGTAAATAACATATTCTCGAGTTATAATCTAAATAATTAGCCCCTAGAAATAGGTATCTCTTTTCCGTTCTTCAGCTTGTTTTCTTTGAATTGTTTTGTAAAATATGAGAAGGCACATAACAGCTTTAGCAGCAGCTTTTTCTTCTTTCCAAAGCAGCTAAGGAATTTTAGAAATAGATCCCTTTGCATATTAACTGCAGCTAGAGACATTAAGTCTGGAGCACAGAGCAACCCAGAGGAGTGGAGCTCAAACTACCAATCCTTGTATTTCAGAGATGTGGCCTTGTTAGGGGTTTGGAAAGTAAATGAATAGGCTACTTTTAAGTGATTTACAGGTTGCATAACTTTATTCAATGCTTGTTTGAGTCTTTAAACATTATGAAAACTATTATTTGACATAAACTTGCTGGAAATCTATGATGAAAAACATAAGGGCATGCAAGTAACATGGAAAATACAGTTGAGATTAGAATTACATAGATAACAGCGCATTGTACAGTGCATAAAGAGGCTCAGCAGAGTCCAGAGAGAGAAACAACTGGACAGAAAACACCACCATGAGAAAAAGGAGAGTTTGTAGCCAAAACATGAAGGAGATTGGAGATAGGAGGGCAAAGGTAGAAAAGGAACATAAAATATAAAATAAGTGATGTGAAAGAGGAAATGTAAAATTATGTTGTAGAAGATTTTTAAATAATAGAGAAAGTGTAAGACAAAAGAAAGAAATGGATTGAGAAATTGCCTTTTGTTTAGACCACTGTTGTAAAGTTATACAAAATGTATACTATATGCAATTTCATAACTGGTATTTTATGTACCTGTTAACAGGCAGCCTTTTTTAATTAATTAATTTAAAAAAATTTTTATTAAGATATGATTGATATACACTCTTACGAAGATTTCCCATGAAAAAACAATGTGGTTACTACATTTACCCATATTATCAAGTCCCCACCCATACCCCAATGCAGTCACTGTCCATCAGTGCAGCAAGATGCCACAGATAACAGGCAGCCTCTTGAATGATGAGAAGTTCTCTAAAGGTAAAACAAGCAAGCCTACTTGCAAGTGGAGCTGAAGTTCCTTCTCTTGGCAAACCCTGTTCAATACTGGAGTAAAGACTGATCAAGCTGTCTAATATAGAGCCCTTTATCTACTTCAGATCAAGGAAAGCAATCATTAAAAAGTACTGGTCATGTTGTTACATCACTGTCTTTTCAAAACACCTTTTTTTAATAATGATGATATTCCAGGGGAGAAAATGATGTAAATTTTCCCTTTTTACTCTGCTGATTTTTTTGGTTGGTTGTTAATGTATCCCCTCTTTTTAATTCTTAAAATTTTTTTATTTTTTTAATGACAGCCTTTCTCCAGGCTCTATTTGTCTGTCTTTTGGCTTAGTTTGCTGTAGCTGTAGGTCTTGTTTATAAAGACATTCTTCTCTAGGCTATTCAGTCTTACCTCTCAGCTACTTCTAATCCTTTCCTAAGATTTTTTGAGGGAGACTCCTGTGCATTGTGCACACATACAAATGGGGAATCAGAAATCTGGCAGTCCCGAAGGACTTTGAGGGGATTTCTTTCATCATAAGACACTTAGTCTTCTACAGCACAGTGATGGGGTTTCAGTGGGGTCAGGTGATACTTGGTCCCCATTTACCCCATGAAGGCCTGACAGGAAACTTGTCCTCAAGGACATCTGAGGCTGTGAAACTAGAAGGTGGGCACAAAGCGGGAAATGAGCAGCAGCTCACCCACCCAGAAGCAATGCCTTTCTTCATTCAGTGAATCCTTGACTGGTGAGGAGTGTCCTTCAAACCTACTCTCACTTGAGCTTCCATCTTGAAAAGAAAATAGGGCTGTTGCCGAGTGGCTGCAGTACACTTCATGCTAGGACTTCACTGGACTTTGTAAGGTATCAAAATTCCCTCACAACTTTCCAGATACTATCTTTCTCCTCACAAGTGATAGTGTTGGACAATAAATCCTAACTTTTTATTCAGCAGACATTTAATGAATATGCACTAGAAGCCAGACATGATACTAGGCCTCAGGGATACCAAAATAGATAAATAAAAGTCCTAGAATATTCCCTGGTACTTTTGGAGGTATAAAGCAAAAGCTTTAGCCAAGGAATCAGAATGTCTGACTTTGAGTCCCAAATTCCACTCATTACACATACTACCTTGAATAATCCCAGTTGTCCTGAGCCTCAGTTTTCTAATCTGAAAAACAAATTAAGGGCAAAACATCACTAAGGGGTAGTTGTTTAGACTATGCGTAAAGATTACATACAAACATCTGCAAAAGCACTTGTATTATATGCATACCTAGGCAGTTGGGACTTACACAATACTGTGACTTCATGAAGGAAAATAAGATATCATCCCTCTCTTCATCAAAAGAATCTGGTGGAAAGCGCTGAAAGGAAAGCAGCTCAGGATCAGGACTGGTGAAGCTGACACAAAGCCACACTCCACCTCCCCCTCTTACTATTTCTGGCTCCATGGCTCAGCTGTTTTCTGTCATTAAGGGCAGTTTGAGGTCCCAAACTTTCTGCTTAGATTAACCTAGCTAGTGAAATGGCGCTAAGGAGCCGGGAATGCTTGTCCCAGGGAAGGAGAACAGGGAGGGCATACATAGTAAGGCAGCCTGAGGTGACATCTTGAAGTGATTCTGATTTTTCAATGAGAGCTCACTGTTTCATCTGAACTTGAAAGAATGACATGATTTATAAGCAATTAATCCCTTTCTTCAAGCAATCAATAGAATAAATCAGTGAACATCTCATATATTTTGCTTTCTGACTTTCTCAAGGACAAGACCTCAAACCTGAAATTAGCATATCCAACATTTTACAATGTATTTACCATATAGATATTTTATTGCTATTGTTGTTAAGCATAGAAGCATGTTGTATCTTGTTTGTTTATCTATGCAAGGGTTAGGGATATACACAGCTGTTAATTCCCAGATATTAATGTGCTCAGCTTTGGAACTGTGGATATTACCCACACTGTAGAGACCTTGTAAATGACCACAGCAAGAGTTTTCCCAGACAGTCAGGTTAGGCTGTTCCAGTTCTGCTAGCTTGCAAGTGAGTTAGCCTCGTACAAACTATCTTGTGAAACCTGAGAACTCAATGCACATTTGACTCTGTGACCCACGCATTATTTTAGTACCCAGAGCTCTTTCTGTTATGCTAAAAGTTAACTGAAATAAATGAAGTAGCTTTGCCATGGCGCGGAAAGACTCTCAATGCAGAACGCAACTGAGAACATGGTGATTCTGGAAATCAGAGCTGATTTAATCAAAATGGTGGGTCTATCCCAAACCAAATATATTTTGAGTGATCCAGACTGCATTCTGGGACATTGTGCATTATTATTTACATAGCACATTCTTCTTTTATGTTTCAAGAACCATAGCTTAAGCCAGATATTTCCTGTCTTTTTTGACATCACAATGTTATGGGAAGTTGACACTGTCAGCAAAGAATCATGTAGGAGACATCTGTTGAATATATCATCTTATTCTTAAAGGAAGTTTTTATTTTCTGTGAAAGTAATTATCTCTTACTTTGATCTCAAATAAACAGGCATTTGACATTTAAGGTGATATGAATAAGTAAATAAGCTTAAATTTTGCTTTGTTAACACTTTAAAGTGTCTGAAATGAAGGATTTTTTTTTCTGAAAAGAAAGATTGCTTTATTTCAAAGATCCTCAGATTTGTTTAAATTACATATTATTATGTTTTTCAACCACATTCTGGCTACATTCAGGAGCAGAACCAATTTTTTTAGGAGGGGTTGAAACTTTATAGTTTGGAGAGGTTATCTCTAAGAAAAAGAGTAGAATTTCCAAATACAGTATTAGATGTGAAAGTGAGTATTTAAAATGAGACAAGTCAAGAAAAAAATTGTCAATTTTAAGAAGTTTTAATTACCCTAAAACTTAGTGACTTAAAACACTAATAATTTTATTATCACTACTCATAGTTCTGGGGTTGGCTGAGCTCAGCTAGGCAGTCCTTGCTCAGGGTCTGTCATGAGGTTACATTCAGATGGTGGCTGGGCTGGAGTCATCTCATGGTTCACTCGTGTGTCTGGAGTTGGTGCTCACCATGGGCTGATAACTCAGCTGAGGCTGGTGGCCACCTTGCCTATGTTTGTAGCCTCTCCATGTGGCCTTTCTACTTCCTTATGGCATGGTGACAAGGCTGGAAGACAAGCAGGTGATCACTGTATCTCCTTTTATGAATTTGCCTTGGCAGTCACATAGCTTCTATGCTAGTTTCATATTGTTACTATAACAAATTAATACAAATTTAGTATCTTATAACAACACAAATTTATTATCTGATAGTTCCGCAAGTCAGAAATTTGGATAGATCTCACTAGATTGAACTCACAGAGTTGGCAGGGCTGTGTTCCTTCTGGGCTCTGTGGAAGATACATTTCCTCTTTCAGCTTCTAGGAACTACCGCATCTCTTGGTTCATGGTCTCTTCCTTCACCTTCAAAGCCTGCATCATAATACCTTCAAATTCCTCAACTCTGACTCTTCTGCCCTTCTTTTCCACCTACGAAGATCCTTGTTATTATACTGGGCTCACCTGATTATCCAGGATAATCTCTCCATCTCTAGGTCAATTAATCAGCAACCTTAATTCATTTGCAACCTTAGTTCCCCCTTGCCATGTAACATGACATAGTCACAGGTTCTGGGCATCAGGATATGGACATCTTTGTGGGGCTGTTATTTTGCCTTATTCAGCATTCCTTCAGCCACAGTGACATATCTGCTCTGTTCAAAATTCAAGGGGAGGGAAACAGACCCCA